CAGGAGACTTTAATTCACACCATTTGTCTTGGGGTATAAAACAGATTCTTGTGGTAGGCGACTGTGGGAATGGACTATTGATCACAACCTCTCCTGTCTGAATAAAGGTCGTGTAACATTTGTCCGAGGTCAAACTAGCTCAGTATTGGATTTAGCGTTTTGCTCCAATGCAATCAAGATTTTGTCATGGGCTGTTCTGGATTCGGCAACTAACAGTGACCATCTTCCTGTAGTTTTTGACATTACTTGTCCAACAATAACTTTAGATCAGCCAAAACGCACATACATCAACCATAGCAAATTTCAAGCCTGCCTCCGTTCTGCCATTTCCAAGCATGGAAATGCCAGTACTAAGGAGATTGCATCTACAATTGGTTCAATGCTGGAGGGATCTAGAAAAAATTCTGAATTTTCTATTCCATCCAATAAACGATCCTCCTCTCGTTGGTGGAACGATGAGTGTACGCGCGATTATAGAAGACGAAAAGCCGCTTGGAAAAAACTTCTTAATCAGAGCCCAACAAACTGGAAAGACTATCAATTCCTTGCTGGCGTATTTAAGCGTACAGTGAACCGCGCGAAAGAAGAATACGAGAGTAGACATTTTGATTATCTTTCTAAATCAAAAAAAAAAAACAAGCGTGCTTTGTTCGCTTATCTTCGGACAAGAAAAGTACTACCAGCACCTTTAACGTTGCAGTCATGTGTCTTGACGCCGGTAGAAATGAACACCTCTCTAGAAGACATAGCGCAAGGTTTAGAACGCCGCTTCACTGCGAATTTTGCGGCTATTAAGTCCGTTCTGGTAAACTTGCATAAATCTCCAGAAGTTTCTTTAGCTGAATTGAATCAGACAGTATTATGCTTACCGAGGACGGCTCCCAGACCAGATGGGATTACGAACTCTATGTGGAAATGTTTACTCCAGGAATCGCCTAATCTTTTGCTAGAACTAGTGAATTATTCTTTAGGGAATGCATGGATACCTCCAGAATGGAAACTTGCCAAAATTGTATTGTTGCTAAAAATGAAAATGATGCATACACGTTGGATAACATAAGGCCGATCGCACTGACATCAAACTTAGTGAAATTGGTTGAGAGAATCGTCAATATACGAATTAATGAACTTATTAACATGAGGTCTATTCTATGTCCCTGTCAAATTGGGTTCAGGGCTGGTTGTTCAATTTGGGATGCCCACGTTGACTTAGAAAGTAGGCTTCAATTAGCTCGGCTACATAAAAAATATGCTGCTTTAGTTACCTTAGACATTGCTAAAGCATATGATACCGTGGAGCACTGTATTTTGATAGATCGATTAGAATACCTTGATTTTCCATCATACATAGTAGCGTGGGTTCACAATTTTCTCGCAGACAGGAAATTTTATTGTTTTAAAGATGGGTTTTCATCATCTACTCATACCCAAACGAGGGGAGTACCGCAAGGATCGGTGCTTTCCCCGGTGCTATTTAATATACTAATGAGCACCATCCCACGTAAACAGGATATAACAACTGATGTTTATGCAGACGATATCGCAATTTTTGCAATGGCAGATAACATTCAGACCTTATATGAACGGCTGCAGACTTACCTTAATATATTGGAGAGCTGGCTCGATGGCAACAGCTCTTTACTTAATCCGAGTAAATGTGCCCTCCTTGTTTTCCCACTGCAATACCCTGTGAACATCTCTCTGTCTTACCATTATGAGGATATACCACAGGTGGAATCTGTTGAATACCTTGGAGTAATTTATCACACATCGCTTGCCTGGCGATCTCATATCGAATATATCGCCGGAAAAGGTGTGCGGGCCATTGGCATATTACGTAGGCTAAGCAAATACCGCACAGGTATGAGAAGAGACACATTATTAATGATATATCGCATGTATGTTCGTCCCATTTTGGAATTTGGTTGTGTGCTTTTCTCTGGAGTTCCAGCTTACAAGTTGCGGCCTCTAGTTCTTCTGGAAAGAGAAGCTTTGCGCTTATGCCTTTGCCTTCCCAAAACAGTCGCCAACAATGTGTTGTATCTCGAATCGAGGGTCCCTCCGCTTTCTTGTAGAATTCGCCTTCTGACTGTTCAGACATTCTTAAGAATTTATGAATCACCATTACGACATTCAGAAACAGCCTATATTTCCACCCCGGAATCATTTTTTGCTGCTAGATGGCCGCGATTTCACACGCCACAAATTATATTTGTGCAAAATTTACTGGAGCCTCTAAACGTACGTATATGCGACATCATGCCGAGTCGTTATAATTCAGCCCCGGTGGAAATTCAATTCGACGACATTTTTCCTAATAATGCCAAATTACTTCCCCATAATATTTTGGATGGTTTACTACAAGATCACCTGCGCCGTATTACAACGAATGTTATTATTGCTACAAACGCATCGCAATATGACGAAAAGTCGGGGGCTGGTATTTTCAGCCCGATTTTAAATTGGATTTATTCCCTTCGACTACCCGATTTCATACCCGTTTTTGTGGCTGAGTTTCTGGCAGTAGTGCTTGCCTTACGCAAGCTAGATACAACAATTACATCAGCTGTCATAATAACAGATTCCCTATGTCTCTGTGCAGCACTTTCTGTTGGTGCTGATAATCACGTAACAAGGGCGATCCGTTCACTAGTACCTGTGCATTTGAGAAAAGTGCGATTAGTTTGGGTGCCTAGACATAAAGGTTTGTTTCCTAATGAAATAGCCGATTCCTTAGCTAAGTCGTCAATCAGCGAACCAATTCTACCGCTCTGTCCATCATCCGCTCATGTGACTGCTGCTCGATTCCGCAGACGTACGCTTATGCAAGTCTTTAAAGGTTCAGCACTAACAAACTCTACAGAATATCGCGGCGAAGAGACTTTTGCCGCACTCGAAAACAAGAAGTAGCTATCACAAGGCTGCGTTGCCGGGTACCAAATCTAAATTTCTATAAACACAGGTTGCTCAGGCACCTTCGCCACTGTGCGCATTCTGTGATGAACTGGAAACAATAGACCATTTCTTTTTGACCTACAGGCGGTTTAACACAGTACGAAAAACCCTATTAGAAATACCTTTGCGTGGCATTGGTATGGACTTATCTCTGCCTGTCATTTTGTCTTTTGGAGCTTCCATTTCTGGTTTCTCTAATGGCACAGTATGCGCGGCCGTCCGGGACTATATTGATGAAACTAATAGGTTGACTAATTAACCAGTTTCATTATCTTAACATGTCCACATAATTATATAATATAAATCAGATTATTGGTCTATTCTAAGAATAAATTTGTTTATGTAAATATTTGTATGCACAACATTAGGCACCACACTTGCCTATAGGCTATCGGTAATCTTCCTGTTATACCTCCATCATTCTAAATCTGAACAGTAAATTTTAAAGCCACTCGATTCTTGGCCAATCCCCCACAGTGGGTATGCGCCATTAACAATAGGAGAACAACAACAACAACGTCGTTTTCACACTGAAGCAATTTGATCGCCGCTTGATTATGCTTTCTTCATGGATGTACGGCGCGATGCTCTAGCCATGTTTTGCGTTCATTACGTCAGGTGCAGGCCCGAGTCGTAGCCAGAAAATAGTTTTTTTTTTGGGGGGGGGGGGATATTTTTAACTTCAGGAGGCGGAGTGCGCTTTTTATGGTCAAGCGCCGTCAGTACTCAATATAATACATGAATTTCACGACGAAGTTATGGAAGCGTCAAGTGAATCATTTAAAACATTGCTCATTTCACAAAATATTGAGTTTGTCTGACAAAGCTTCTGTATATATTTTCAATTTCTGTATTTTAATTGCAAATTTTAGTTGTTGACTTGGAAAAAATGACCTATGAGTGTATTATGTAACATTTTTTGTTGTTTCTTTGCAGACATAACGTGTTTATTCTCCCTCTTCCGATTTTTGTGCACACGTTCTTTCAATTTTGTGACTATTCAGTGGAATATGTCTGTACAGAATGATCTGTATTGACTTGCGCTATGTATGGCCTGCGTGCCAAAATGTCGTTGGAGCAGATGCCTTTGTCAGGCCACATGGCCTTTAGCTTCTGCTAAATAAAGACAATTCAATTAAATTTTTCAGTCACTCTGCCACAGCGAAAAAAACACAATGCGGGGGGGGCGGGGGGGGGGCAAATACCTGGCATGCCACCCCCTGGCTACGCCCCCTGTGCAGGCTGTCGATATGATTTGCACTTGTCACATGATAAGTGCACGTACCACGACAAGACAACATATCAAGGCCCTTTTACTTACGGAAGCCATCATGTTTTGCAAGCCCAGCATGGTAAAGAAAAGCCGCTTGTTTCGGTTGGGCTGCGTTAACTTGGAGATTTAAATTTCAAATTTCCTAAGCACTTGCATAACCATTTATGCAAAACAGATACGGTTGTACAGCTCGCACGAATTTATATGCTTCGTCTCTTTTCGTAGGGCTCTAAATATACAGTTTCGAAATGCCTTCTTAAAATGCACGGCCACAGTTGACAAAGCCACCATGGTCGCCTATAGCAACTGGTGTGTTGCGCTGCTACGCTGGATGGCGCAGGTAAGATTCCCTCTTATGGGTTTCACGAGTCAAAGCACAGAATTTAGCCTAATTTTAATGTTACGCTCTTTGATAGCTTGTTCCGAGCGGTGCCACATGTACCAATGCACGGCACAAACGTGCTACAGCGGAGAAATTTATGGGCTCCGGATTCACCAGCCTTCTGACAGCGACATCGGGTCAATAGCCGAGTTAGAGGAAGGAGACATCATTCCTCACGAACCCACCGTGGTGGTCTAATGGTTATAATGCTCGACTGATAACCGAAAAGGCTGCGGGAGCAAATCCCGGCCGCGTTAATCACGTTCCGGACGAGGCAATATGCTAGATGTTCATCCGCTGAGATTTGAGTGCACGTTAGAGAACACATGGTGATATATGCTCGTCGGGACGTAAAGCCGTAACAATTATTATCATCATTATTATTCATACCTGGTAGAATACGTTGTACCTTCGCGATGCCTTCTGGCCAGCGCTGATATACCGATGCAAGTGTTTCCAGGTTCTGCCTATGTATATCACACTGAAGTATCACTGTGCATGCCGAGTGCGTTCCAAAGCTGCCACTAGTAAGACAACGCTTCGCCTATCTGGGCCAGGATACTGCGGTCACTTCTTGCTCTCCGTTCTGTGCCGTTCTTATCGTCCGCTGATCTCGACGCAAGCGGAGCGTCGTGCTGGTCACTGACAAATCGCGGTAAAGGATTACACCAGCACACACAGCGTTGTTATCCGCTACAGCTGCGTGCAAGCAAATCGTAAAAACCGGCGCGTGTTTGGCTGCTCCAATGACACCTCACTCCCGTTGTTCAAGCAACTCGGTGTTTCCCGATCTTGCGCAGGATGCTAAAAAAAAAAAAAAAACGTGCTGCACGCTAGCTAGCTTGATTGATCGATTGATTGATATGTGGGGTTTAACGTCCCAAAACCACCTTATCATTATGAGAGACGCCGTAGTGGAGGGCTCCGAAAATTTCGACCCCCCTGGCGTTCTTTAACATACACCCAAATCTGAGAACATAAGCCTACACATTTCCGCTTCCGTCGGAAATGCAGCCGCCGCCTCCGGGATTCGATCCCGCGACCTGCGAGTACCTTGGCCACTTGACCACCGCGGTGGGACACGCGCTAGCTAGTTAGTGTCATATATTCAAGCCGCACCATTCCGAGAGTCAGCACCCAAGAAACGAACGTCCAAGCCTGACACTGAGCTTTCCGCTTGAGATTGTGCTTTTTGCCAGCTAGAAACCGAACGAGCAAGTGCATCGAACGCTCAACTCCAAAAATAAGGTTGCGATGATGACCAATTAAAGCTGTTATCCCGGAGCGTTGTCCTAGACTTGATGCTATGCTATCCACCACGTGTGGCCGGTTGCTCGTGTTGACCAAGCGGACCAACCATCGCTCTAGCTACTGAAGCCAAGCGCGGGAAACAGGAAAAGGCAACGCTGCAGCATCGCACCACAGGTACCATTCCTCGTCTCAATGCGTGAATCAGTCAATTAAGGAAAGAGTGATCGCTAAAAGTTTGCGTCCATAGCAAAAGCAAGGCAAGAAGATGGCAGGGCAAGAAGATGGCAAGCAGGGCAAGAAGTTGTGAACGCGGCCTAAGGCCGCGTTCACACTGAGCATTTCAGCCACCGAAAGTGCTCCGAATCTGGTTCGGCGGCGGCGAGATCCACCGAAAGGGCCTTCTCCGCGCCGATCGCTCTCGGACCGATTTTCGCGTCGTCTGCCGGCGAATCGGTCACCGCGGACCAATAGGAGCGCTAGTCAAGGAATTTTGAAAAATGGCGGCCAAGCCCTATTCACTTGTTATGCCGCAGTGCACGTAACTGAATGTTGAAACCAACGGGAGTTTAACCTACTCTGTGCCTACTTCGCATCCGTATTTCGTGAAAGAGGTGACCGAGCTTGCTGTTGGCGTGACCGAGCTTGTTGCGGTCTTGCAGAGCAAAACGAACCCACCAACGCCGCTGGAGTCGGTGGTTTTTCTGCTCTTCGTGCATTACAAGACAGCCACTTGCCAGCAAAGTAAGCAGTACTGTCTTTTCTTGCGTCTTGCGTACGAGAATCGTCGAAGTATACACTGCCGGATAGCGTAGTAGCGTTTGCAAGCCGCGACAACAACTGGGTAACAGCGCATCCATCCCGCGTTCGCCCCGAAGTATACATAGCATATTCGGCGGCGCGGGGCACGTCCAGTGCGAACGACGCTGCGTTCCGGCGGCAGGGGAATTTCGGTCGCTGTAGAAAGCGGATGTTTCAGTGTGAACTAGGCATCACTCTTCTGCTCTTGTCGCCGTATTTGGGGCTGCGTTATCAAATAAAGTATAAATTTCCCATGCTCTTTCAAGTTTGCGTTGTGACGCTGCGCACCCTTTATTTTCGTTCTCTGGTACGCTTCTTGATGTGGTCTGTCTTTCGTCCCGTTCATGGGCACGTACTCGACCGTGGATAGAAATAGCGGCACCGTTGGCGGGTGACAACGAGTACTCGAAAATCTGCGACCAACGTTGTGAATTCGTTCATGAGCATGGTTACCCCCTATTCACAAACGCTCCTCCACTTTATTTTAGTTCTTCACTTGACAGAGTTGAGTGCCGCTGCCCGACTGAAAATGACGCTGCGCTTCCTTAGAATCGGTGCCGATTACCGCTGACAAGCAGTGACTCGCTCGGCCTAGAGCTGGCGCTTCCATCGACTTTTCTCAAGTCAAGGCGCAGCGTTTAGCGAAGGTACGCTCTAGAATACGGAATCTAGAGTGAACACGGGAGCTTGTGCGGCGGGGCGATATCAGGGTGTATAAAGAAAACCTGGGATCATGCGCAGTTCGTTTGTGGCGTGGTCATTTTACGATAGAGCGCATCACCTCTTCAGTGAGCACCTTCGATGAAGGGGCGAGCAGATGACTCGGTACGCGCGATGGCAAATCATCGCCTCTAACGCATTGCGCATGCGCGATATTTTTGTTGGTCTAGGTCTGCGTAGCTAATATGTCCCTGCTGTGCACTCTCCCGTGTTCAGGCTGAGTGCTCATGGCACTAACATCAACGAGTTCGCTGTAAAAAAACTCGTTCATGTTGCTTTTTACTTGAATGACTATAGCTCCTGCTCCACTAACTGTCGAATGGCCCGAGACTTGAATATCGAAAAGCTCGTTGCCGGAACTTCGCCAAGTTAACAGCTTATCACTGTTTCGAAACAAACACAGAGGAGTGATCGGCGAAGTTTTATCGCCGCAGCAAGCGATGATCGCGTACCCGCGGGATTTTTCTAGCACTTGGCACAATGCCGTATCGCCGCTTTCAAATATCGCCACTCGTGAAATTTCTCAGCTGCACTTAGGTGTGAGCACGCGGGCGAACGACACCTTTGACAAATAATCCCGGAACAGGTGTCACGCATTGTGCCGACACCGGCCTTGATCTGCACGTCGTAATCTCGAGTGCTCAAACTCTCGAGGTATGTTAATGAAAAGGAAAAAAAAAACATTACATACGCGTACAGCATAGCTATGTGCAAAGCGAGATGAAATGTCCACAAAGCATCGATGCTGCAAAAGAGTCTGTTGGGTGAGTTGGTGAGGGTTGAACTTAACACTACACACAGGAAGAAACAGAGGAGAACAGGACTCTCCTCGTCTGTTTCTTCCTGTGTGCTGTGTTTAGTTGCACCCTCACGATGCGATCGATACTACACTTCGTGTATGGGCCCTTCAGCTGATGGAGCCTGTTTATTACCGTCTCAGTCTCGCCATGTCTGCGCGCTCTTCATCTTCATTTTCGGTTTAAGACAATTAATCTTAGGACTGACCTTAAATTGTCAGATTGTACGCAAGACCTTCTGCTACCCCCAAGGACACAGGGTATACTGAAGGTGAACTTCGAAAAAAATATCATTTTGTTTCTTTGCAATTTGAGAAGCTTCTTTTTTTTTTACATTCACGCGTCATTCATGCGTCATTAATACTGATTTGTGCATATTTTTCACATTTTGTGCTTTTTTAAAAGAGTATTTTAAAGAGTACCAAACAGGTGTTCTACAACACACGAAGCGTTTGCTTAGAAATACAGTGAAAGAAACTTTCTATACTTGAAAATGCAGTGAAAATAACGTTCATTCTTTACAAACACCCACGTACTGTATACAAGATTCACAATACTACGTGTAACAAGACAATAACAGTGCGTGGTGCAAGCGTAGATTGCCACCGGTCGTCAGCACGGGTGATTATAACTACCTCCTGGTTTAAAGTGAGCCACCCACTACAAAAGGCGCACACTTTACGGCGCGTATTTCCTTTACACCAACTAGAGGGTTTATAGCAACTTCAAAAACATTTCACGTGCATAATTACTCGTGGTTTAAGTCACGTTACTCATTGCAGAGAATGCACTGAGGACAGGATATTGCTATCACGTTCAACTCGAAAAGGCAGAGATTATGCGTCTGCAAATTTTTGTCAGCTGTGGAATGACGCACACAAGGCCTGTTGCCTACAAAAGAAAATACGTAATGTTTTTTTGATGTAATAAGGAAAGAACTGCAGCGAAAAACGTAGTACTCTTCGTAGAGTGCCGCAAGAACGCAAGAGCGTACTGTCGTGTGTTTCCAATCATTGCGACCATTTTTTGTTCATGTTTTTGTTTGCAGCGCATGCAAAAAAAACTACCGCATTTTCTGCTCATATATGAGTGAACTTGTGTGTTTCAACCTCGTACCAAGAAGAATCCATGCGTAAGTACCCTTTCACACATCCAGGAATGAATATAAATTCGCTTCTTCGCCGGCAGCCGTAAAAGTCATTCACGCTCAGTGCCGCCACTTAGAGTGCTCCTGTGAGGCGGCAAGTGCACTGACTTTGACCGTATTCACGAGATGCCAGCACGAGTCCCACAAGCAGCCGCGCAAAACACTTCCCGGGAACAGGAAAGCGCTTTGGAAGCGGTGGTGCACTGGGCAACAATGTCCAATATATTGGCCACATTTGCCATAGTCAGCTATGGGAAGGATAAAATTGTCAGGTTACTTTTATAAGACAGTCCGAAGACACTGGGCCCCTCTACATTCGCACTTAATCTGAAGCGCGTCGCCTCGAACAATTTGAGCTCTTAGCTTCATTACATCTTAAGTTTGTCGTGCTTGTCAATAACATTAGATGCTGAAGGTAAAGATGGTCTTCAGCAAGTGTGAATTTCGCGGCAATCCATACAGTTTTTTTGTAAGTGGAAAAAAATGTCAGTGACGTACGGAGGCGCCGAACGCTCAAACAACAAGCCATTCCTTTGCGGCATTTTCAGGGTCCTTTGAGGTGAATCACGTGCAGGTTGACAATGGGTATGCTCTAGTGGACATAACTTTTATAATGTGATGTAGTTAGGCCAAAATAGCGCAGGCCAGCTGCCCGGCGCAGCTGTTCACCCAATGGGAATGGCAACACAGAGTCTTTGTTGTCTTTGTTTAGGTTCAAAGTATTAAGAATCGCGCTATTAGATATTGCTAATGCATTTATTGATGGTACAGTATCACACGAGCCTAGCTTATGAAATAGCTCGGACACAAGCCTGGCCAAACTACAGTCAATTTCCAGGAAAA